GCAAACAATGGCAAACCAAGAGGGGCCTCCAATGGATCAGGAAACCGAAAATCCCAGGATTGAATTTTCTGATAAAGAATAGCAGCAAAACATAGAAGGTAAAAGAAAACCCCGCTACCTACGCTACTAACATGAACGATCACTCACTCCAACTGTTGAACTTAGTACTTATCCACCGTACAGATTTTCTTTCATTCCTATGCAATTGACTCCTTACTCAACATCACTTTCATTCTTTTCATTTCATTCCGTTTTTAACATTAACTCCATGCCTTATTCAACTATGGTATGTTTCCTTGCTTCTCCTTATCTTTCAGATTATGTTGTTATTGTTATTGCTATCGTTTGTTTTCGTCGTGTTCCTTTCCTCCAGGATATAAACCCATCAGAGTCCATGTAATCAAGAATCAAGCTTCACTCCGTTTCTCTCTCAAAAACACATTGATACCGACTTTTATATTTGCTTCTTTTACCACCTCCTCCAAATTATACCGCGTGTTGATCCTTCGTGTTAGCACTATTTGCGCTATTGCCGTGATCGGTTGCATGCCCAATGATTGCTTTGTTCAAGAGCTATATTACTATCATCCGTGCTTACCTTCCCTACCAGCCGGCTCAGCCCCATCATGAACAAAATGGTGAAAACGGGTGATGAAAGTCTAGGAAGCGAGAAGGCGAACACACCAGCCCCAATTAAGGCTCTGCTTAGAAAAACGAGATAAACCGTTCAACAAAGGTCTTGTGAGGAAGAAAAATTCTGAAATAATATCGATTGTAGCCGTGGAATAGTTCAATTGACCCACTCAATCATAAATACAATGTTGAACACAATCATTCAATAACCTCCCCATTGACCAAGGATGCCCGACCACTTGGAGCTTGAACTAGTGACAAGGGAGAACATAGAGACAATGAAAAATCAAACAACAAAGCAAATTCTCAGCTGGAAAGTGTTGAAACATATTTCTCGCAGTACTGTAGTGTTACTCCTACTACTAATACTTTCTCCTTGCATTAAACTTGATGGGGCATCTAGACCTCCTGGAATATTGAAGATACCTCCTTGCCTTTCTCACACACCTCTTTTCTCTATTGTTATTATTGTTTGCTCAAGCTATTTGCCTTGCTCCAAAGACAGTAGATAGTCAGGGTCTTCAGCTCTCCCCTTTGAAAGTGTCAAGCATTCAAGTTTCCCAAGCAATCGATCACTTCTTCATATCTCGTATCATCGTTCTATCCAATATTCTCACAACAGAAAGACTCCAACGGTAGCCGAGTGATCCTCTATGACTCGTGATCCCTCCCCTCATATATCGTATCGCAAGCCCTCAATGATCAGATCCACCGTAGGTGGGTGGGTGATCTCGCTCACTCGCTAATGGCACCCACCCGAAATGCCATCCATTCCCCGGTGTGAAATGACCCACAACCCTGATTCGCGTGTTCAAGCTGGATCAGTTCTCGCCCAAGATGTAAGGGGTCGTTTGTCCATCGGGCAATCACATCTTACCGCTCTCAAGTACCCTACCAGTACAAGTACTCGTACAGCGCAAGCCGGATAATCTACTCGAGTAATGTACATGTTTGGCATGTACTCGAGCACTCGTACGGCTCTTTCATTGCTTTTTTTTTCTCTTTCCCTTTTGCGGTCCGGGCAAAATGGAGAGGGGACATTGGTGTTTAAGTGGACTGGACTGGAAGAAATGGTCTGCGTAGAACAATTCGCTTTCCAGTATCATCGTTGCGAATGTCGAGGGTGGTGTCAGAGAACACTGCTGGTCCGCCCTTGCCGAAGGCGGTGGAGTCTCCTCCAGCGAGTTCTCAGTGGTATCTCCTCCACCATACTCGTACCGGTATCAAATCATACTTCTGGTATTCCGTAAATGTACTGGTATGCCAAAAATCCCCGTCAGGAAGTATTCTTCACCCGCCCAATACCGCCACCCCGTGGCTGCCTGGTCTTTACCAAAACACACACGCCTTTTCGTCCGACAGGACAAAACAACAAAAACTAGCAATAATCCTACAGCGGGTACGAGTATATGGGTGGGATGCGCAGGCGGACATACTTGAACCTGCCCCTTACTTCCTTTGGTGCACGCATTTCAAGATGTTCATTCCCCCCTCCACTTCACTCCACTCCTGCTGTTATGGGAAGGGGGATTGATATACTGTAATCAAGACCCAGTTACCTCCTCCCTACTTTTCCCTTCTTTCTCTCCTACCGCTAAACACCAAATCTTCCGCGTAGTACGGGCTTTCACTCCTTTAGTTCTGATACCATAGTATCAACACACTCTTTTGGGATCGATAATTTTGTCACCTAACTAGTATTTTCTGTTTCTCTCTTTATTTTCGTCTCTTTTCAGGGCCTACGATATATTAATTTTTGCCCGTTAATCTACCTATTTACTCTAAATAATTTGAGCAGTGTTCTGGAGTGATAAGTAGGTATTATACAAGTCCTTTTCATGGTTGCAGACGTAGGGGGTGTTAGGTATTGCTCTAGCTGACGATTTCGAAAAGAGAGCATGAATCCCCTACCAACCTATACCGTCGCAGCTCACATCTACTCGGCCTACTTCCAGAAGGGTTTGGCATCGATAGCGACTGCAGAAGCCCACGGGACTGCAGCTGCCGTCGCCAGATCCCGACACCGGGATCCCTCGGTAATACTACCCAGCGTGCCTCCTTCCGGGGTTCTTAGTCTCAAGTTGGACGATGCGAAATTATCGCCTACTCTAGAGGGCACTACATCGCCAACCGGCGCACCTCCAGCACAGCAGACATCCCAACCTCTTCGGCAATCACAGGTCCCGGCAGTCGTGACAAAAAGCGAGAAGGCCAAAGTCCCATTCCTGGCAATAGCGGGGATTGCTACCGGCGGGGCGATTGCTCTGTGCATAGCACTGGTAGCGGCATTCATGGCGCTCAAGCGCCGCCGCCGTATTGGGCATGCGCGGCAATGCTCTATCGCGAGTACGGACAGAGCACAGATTCAATCACTCGCTCTGGTAACGGGGGCAGATGAACGCGATTGCCCCTCAAGCCTTCGAGCCCTGCCTGGTGGAAGTGCCACTCCAAAAAAGGGTACTAAACATATTACGTGGAAAGACCAAATTTGCCCCGAAGAGACCTTCACGACACATCATTCGCTCTGGCCCCGGTCTCAGACTTCGGGGGACGAGGAGAACCGGAAGCCATTCAGGGTGGGTGCTATGCGTGGTCTTCCAAATGCCCATTTAGCCTATCGCTCCTTCTCATCCCCTGTGCTGGGTGGCCACGTTTCCGCCTGTGGAGTCTACAATTCCACGATCTCTCCTGCGCCGGGGTGCATATTTCCGGCGCAAGTGCACTCGCTCCACAGAGACTCACAATTCCCACACTCTCATTTTTTGTCATCGCAGCAGCAGCATCAGGGGCCCACAGCCCTGTGCACGAGTATATACTCCTTCCTTCCAGGGGGTGGTCGTAGATCGTTATCCGACTCGTTCACAACGCCGGGCCTCTGCGCACCGAATCCAGTACGAAGGTCTTCCATTCGCCAGTCAGGGTGCGTACACGCTTATAGTCCATCGCTCTTCCAGCCTCCGCACATCGGCGGGTTCTCAAAACAAAGCGAGTACTGCGATGGCCAAGAACCTAGTGAGCGTGGTAACGATAGTAGTAATAGCCGCCGCAGTGCCATTGTGGTGACGTCTGGCTATTCGTCAATTTCTAGCGTTTCTTCGACGGGCTCTTCGATATTGAACTATACTGTTGGGAATACACCCCAGAAGCTCTTCCGTGGGAGGAAGACGGCGGGCGTGGTGGCGGGTGTGGTTGCAGGTGTCGATGACTTGTCGCCGCCATCTTCACTCGAGTCTCCAACCACTGGTGGACTCACGTCTCCTCATTCGCGGCGTGGCGGAGAGGTTCCGTTTGCCAGAGGTTTGTTTCAGGGTATGGCTTCGCCATCGGGTGGAAGGCATGTTTGCAGTGGCAGTAGTGATGACGATGATGCTGCATTGGGAGATATCGGACTCGCGTTGTCACCATCCTTTCCAAGTAACCTTTTCGACGATACCGCCCCGTCCGGCAAATCGAGCGCGGGCGATGTATTTCTTGACCGGCCGTCCCTCGACAGCGCACCTTCAGGCCAGAATGTAACATCCAGCCGCCACTTCTCCTGTTCGATGCCCACGCGGCCCAGGCTCCTATCCCTTGAACCCCCCCCATCACTTCGAGAGGGCGTTGAAGATAGTCCTAACGACGCACACTTTTCGACCGCCTTGAGTTCCCCAATATCCCCACCTCACGGCTACCCACCAACTCCCAACCCTGCCTCAGAGCTGGAGTTCGGGCCCCTAAGTGTCCTACCAGTCAAATCCTCGCGCAGAATGCTCAGCAGTGTAGAAAGCACTTACTCCCCTACGTTGTCAATGGTGAACTACTACTCCTCCATCGCGAGAAATCCGGCCGATACTCGGTTCTCCTCTGTCAACCTATTCTCGCCCTTCACTTTCCCTTCTCCCCCGGGTTCCACAGCGTTCACATTCTCGCCCATCGGCTCGCCGATGAGCATGTTTGAGCGTACGAGTGTCGATTTGGGCGGTTCTATCCAGGGATCGTTGGTTATGGATTACACCCCTAGGACCAGGCCGATATCTATTGGACTGGAGTCGATTGCTACGGTTGGTGAGGGGAGCTTGGACCTACAGGGGGGGCTTGGGATCACAGATGGGAGAAGCAGGAAGAGGAGGAGGCATGGTAGTAGGTTTTTCGCGAACGGGGAGGGGGTATTGGTGATTGATGACGGGGGGGATTGTCTGGATGGGGGGGTGAGTCTGAGTGAGGAGAGGGGTGAGGGGGCGGAGAGTGCAGATTAAGTCTGCGGGCTACACTATGTAATGATTAATCTAATTCGATGACGGAGTGACCTAAATGTGGCATGGTTAAATAGATTCTATGATTTTGTGGTGGCCGAACTGACAAAAATATCAAGCCACAAGTGCCTTTCAAAGGGCAATAACACGAAGTAACCAGATAATATATCCATCACCCTATCCTCCTCCACTTTGCCTCCTCCGTCTCCTCCACATTCTCCCTCCTTTCCCCTGCGCTCTCCCCCCTCTCAACCTCATCTCTCAGTCTGACAGTCCCCGCCCCCGGTCCCAACACAACCCCTCCATCCGTTTGAACATCCCCATCAACCGAATCACCAAAACTAAAATCCCCCACATTCTCCGCTGTAATCCACCCTCCACCGGCGGGAAACCCCTCAAGCCTCAACCCCTCCCCTCCCCCCTCCACATCCTCCTCCCACAAGATGCCGTCCTCCTCCTCCTCCTCCTCATCACTCCCAACCTCATCCGGGTTCAATCCTGCACAAACACTCAGCGCATCAAACATCTCCGAGACTACTCCCTCCTTCTCCCCTTCACCGGCCGTATCGGGCAGAATGGTAATCTCCAGCAATTCATCCTGATCATACTCGTCCGTATTCGTGTGCGCTGCAGCGTTCCCAGGGGAGAGCGATATCTGCATGTAAATTCCTGCACCATGTGGGGTCCGCTGGATGGCATGCAGGGTGATGGATGAGTAAGGTAGGCTTATGCCGATCTTTGAGGGAGCGTTGTAGAGGGTGAGGGTTTGGGAGATTATCAGGAGTTCGATATTGGGGATTCGGGACTGGTCTGATGTGGTCGGGGAAGGGGTGGGGACATCTGGGAATATGGGGAGGAGAGAGATGTGTTCTGGCGCGATCAGGACGGTGGCGGAGGGCGCGTGGAAGTGCAATACTGGGGTTTGGAAGGAGGCCGGGGTGGAGGATTGGTGGGTTGAGAGAGGGGTGTAGGATGAGAGGTCCGGGGATTGGCGGAGGATTGTTAGTGGCATTTCGGTCGTGGGTTTATTTTATTATTATTATTTTTTTTCGGTAGAATTGAGATTTTTGGTTGACTTGAGCGGTGGTGGGGGGGTTGGTGGGGTTGTTGTTGCGATGTGTGGATCCAAGAGTGGAAGGGGAACTGTGAAGGAGGCTCAGCGGGATGCTTGGCACGGGCCACGTGATGCGTCAGGATAAGTGTCAAGACATGACTGTGCTGGGATGCCGTGACAGCAAGGTGACAGACTATCATACCTTTAAGGGGACCGGACCTGCAAGGCTCTCTACGATCGTAATGGCGCCAGGACTGCATACCAGAGTGCTAGGGGGCTCTATCATATCGTACCAGAAACGCCAAATCCCCATCGCTCCCATAAATTCATCGCACAACAGTGTCCCTTCTCTCATTAGAGCTCAACTCAGCCCGATAATTACCATTCGCCAGAGTTTCCAGTATGACACTTGAGTGCTCTCTACATCATATCATACCCGCACCCGTCTCCCCCTGACGTTACCACGCTCACAACCACAGGAGCGTGCGCCCAGGCAACCGGTGCCGCCTGACTCTGCCCGACAAATCGCTACGGGACAGCCCTATGGCACCGTTACGGGTACCATATTGAGTTACCCCTGCTTCCAAACAGCAACGCCCCCAGTAAAAACAAGCAGGTCATCTATTACACTACAAGTATGATATGATACAATTACACACCAGGTCACACACTTGGGTGGGGAGGCCATCGTGCACGTAGACTACGAGTACAAAAGAAAAAGAGTGTCCGATTTATATGATATGAACGATAGTTACACGCAATGCAATAAAACATAGAACAAAGCCGAGAAAAACCAATAACCGAGCCCAGGGTAATTAATATCGCAAGCGAGTTGAACGGGCAGTCTAAGATGCGAGTATGCAAGTAGGCAAGAGAAACGAAAACTGGGTATTATTGTAATCCTGTGCGGAGTGAAGAAGAGGAGATGATGAGAAATAGAGGTAGGGGGAAGCGGATATACCGTAAGATGGTTAGATAGATGGACTGCGGGGGGAAAAATGCTGAGAAAACAACCTTACCAACCAAACAATGCAAACCATCTCATAACCTGAAAAAACAAAAAATGCAAGTCTTGGGAAATCTGTGAATCAAGGAAACTAGCAAGTTACGCAGCAAAAAGAAAATAGATAAAATTAAATAAAAAATATCAAGCGCCAAAAATAGCCCATACAAAAGAAACAATTTCAAAAGAATGACTAAATCCCTCCCCTCCGCCCCTTTCCCTCCCTTCCAAAGCCTCCACTCCAGTCATTACCCCCTTAATCATGCCCCACCCCTGCCCGTGCCCTGTTCACCCCCCCATCATCTGACCAGTTCAGTCAACCTCCAACGGCACCCCCCTCACGTAGGTCTCCCCAGTACTTGTAGTCCTCCAGGACGAATCGGAGCGAGTAGTATCCGCGCGCTCAGGCGGGTCCATTGTCCGTCTTCTTGCTGGCGGGGCGGGTGAAGACTCACGCTCCTCCTTTGTGTAGGGGCCCGGAGCAGAGAGGGAGCGAAAGATTCGGGGCCGCGGGATCCTGCGACCCGTGGTGCGCTCGCCGGCGTAGACCACCAACGGGAGGGAGAGGCAGGCTAGGATAATGCCTAAGATGAAAACCATGATTTTTCTTTCCTCGAGTTATCTCCTGTGTTTCTTTGTCGTTTGTATGCCGTTCGCTCTCTGGGAAGGATATGGGTTGTTCCTCTTTGATGAGATGAAGGCCGAGGTGTTTGGTTGTGGTGGTGGGGTGCGAGATATTGTTTATATCGCGGTTCGCAGAGTAAAGTTGGTAGTGTGATGATGGGTATGGAAGTCCAATGTATCGAGCCAGCACAAGCGGGGGGGATTCTCGAAATTATATAGAGCAGTCTCCTCAAGTATGAGTCGTAAGGCACCATGCGTACTGTACACATACCCCACATCCCACAAGGAGCGTATCACTCGCCGCTCACAGACCTCCCCCCCTCCCGCCACCTTCTTGTTCAATATGATAAGACAATAAGACAAGAAAAAGAAAAGAAAACCTCGCACATTAGGCCCACTTTGGTGTTCAACTGTGACGTGGGAACTCGCTCTCCTCTCCCAACAGTTGAGTACGGGCACCGAACAGTACCGTATTCCAGTATACTCGAGTACAGTACTCGAAGTGTCCATGATTCGCCACCCGAACATCGACAGCAACAGCTCGCTTAGCATACATCATCCAAGTTACAATAGTAACTGTGAATACTAACCACCTCAACACCAGCATCTTCTCGAACCTATTCGAGCACATTTTGGCACATTTCACAGAGAGCCTCACAACAGAAACGGGAGGTGTTCTGCAAGGAAAGGAGATCTCCGCAGCGTACAGATATGCAAGGCACTTTTGTCGGGTTGGGGGTTGATCAAGATAAGCGTCAGGGGGATGATGATGGGAGGAGGAAAATGGAAGAAGAGTGCGCCTTGCGGTGGCTTGGACAATATGGCTATTGTTACGCAACCACCCTACTACTCGAGTAGAAAAACAGTGGCGTCTCATTTTTAGATACTCCATTGTGGATACAAGCCAAGCACAATAGATTTGATGGAGGAGGTGAGATTCCCTGAACTGACAGCGGTTAGACGCTTAGGTTGGCTTGGTTGCTTGAGGCGCCGTTTGCGCTGCAGGGATTAATAATTTACAAATGGAAGCAACGAGAGTAAACGGGACAGCACTTGAGTTACAGCGCCGACAGTTGATAAAGATGGATAAGCAGTAGGCTTGTTACCAAAAATAGATTTGGAACTTATCAGTCGGGCTGCTTTGATAAATTTACGGTAGCGAGAGGGTTAAATTAATTATCCGCCCGACAGGCGCAAAGGCTATCTCACCAGTACGGGTACTCGAGTATGACACCTGCTGCAGGAACGTTAACCTTGAATGCGGGGTGTGTAGGCTTTGCTCCTTGAGGCCCAAGTTCTCAAAGCTCAAACTTTGGATGCGTGCACAGCGAGAAATCCAGTACCGGTATAATGCCGGTATCATATGATACCATAGCTTTAAGTCTTGTTCCGGGGCAGGCCCTGGGAATGTTCCGACCCTCTACCGGTAGGTACGATAATTATTATAAAATGTCTTGGAGTGAGCCAATGTACTCGTACTAGTATCGTACAGATTGTGAATACTACACACCTATGATACGCTGCCTATTACACCTTGGCGCTAAAGGGGGTTATCGCCAGAGCGTTATTGCGAGATTCAAGCATTTTTGTGTACTGTACCCAGTACAATACCAACACCGGTAACCGGTGAGGGTTTGTGGATTAGTAGGAGGGTAAGGTCCTGTATCTATGGGGTGTTTGCTCCATAGAATTTCTTGTCACAGAAGGGGGCGAGTCGTGGAGGGAAAATTTGTCCTCTTAAGCACTCCCGCCCTTCCCACCTTAGTTTAGTCAAGCCACCCACAGAGAACAACGCAATAGACAGAGAGCCTGATGGAATGCTTCCCTCTAGGTAGAGAATATTATTGATATTAAGCAATAGACAACACTTCCACCCTTACTTGATTGGGTCCACTTTTGTGTTCTTTTCTTGTCTCTTTACTTTCCTAGCAATACTACATACCGGCGAGTCAATTCCCTGTGACATTATCCTACGGTTTAACAGAAGGTCACAATCACGATAATTTGCAAGTTCAACTACTGCAAGATTCCACGGTCGCCGGAGGTTTAGTACGAAAGCAATTCCACACCGGTATCCCCGTCCTACCATCCATCTCCTCTCACAATCAAGTCAGCACTAGCGATAAATGATCCATACTGAGCACACAATAATACCATACCCGGGCCAGTTTTCCGCCGCTTACCCCTCCTCCCTTCACTCCAAGCGAACAAAAGTGTCATCGCACATTTCTATTCTTAAAATGTAAATATGCTTGAGCCTTTCTCTTCATCACGAGGTGCCTCGAGTGCTGGCGGAAATGGCACTCTGAAGTGTCCGCCGTGAACCGGGGGCTTGCAGCAAAGAATTTGTTCTAGAATACCGGTAACTTAATCGCTATTTTTGTGGCTTGCGGATACTGGTTAACATTAGGTGAAAATGTTCAAGTTAACCCGAGGAAGTGGTGGAGGAGGAACCTGTAAATAGACTGCATTGTACGAGTACCGGTACACAATTGCTGTCAGCCTTATGCAGGTCAATCAGCAAATTAAATTTCAATGTCTTTCATTTGTTCCTATTTACCTTTTCTGCTGTTGAGATATCGTGTTTGCTCAGAAATGGCTTATCGTTTCGGGGTTGTGATTTGCCGTTGCTATTGGAGATTTTTCTGTCAGCCTTGCACGACACACCAGAAGCAACTATCTAGGGCTGCATCATTGGGGCCCAAAACCTTTTCAGTCATCAACCTTTCATTCTATCATACCGGTATGATACTCGTACACCACAGGTAAAAGAGTCTGAAGCCCTCAAATAGCTCGCTTTCGAGGCGCACCACGACCGATCGCGGGGACGGCCGGCTGACAGACCCCTCTATTAGTCAGACTATCCATACCCTTCTCGCAGATCTAAACCTTTTGAGATCTACTAGGAACCCAATATCGTATACCAGAGAATAAAAAACCCAACTATAAGATACAAGTACTACCGTAACGTCGAAAAGGACTGCATTGCATACCACCAAAATTTGCCCCGCACGATTAGATCTGAGTGGTATGCAATGGCAGCTCATTTTCCCCAAAATGTTTCGACCCTACAAGTGCTTGTGTCAACCTCGTAGATTCTACACTCTTCCATTCACCCACGGAATGTTAGAAAACGAAGCCATCGTGCCTCCCCACGACACCAAGCATGACCCTCAACATTTGCTAAAGGCAGCGATCTGGAAGCCGGGAGCTTGCCCCACTATATTCCAATCCAACACGCAACACTCGGATCCAATGCTCAGACACGTTGCTATAATTGAGGCCATGATAAACGTAGGTGGGTAAAAAGGCCCCTTTCCTTCAAAATCCCTCCCGGGGAAAACCCAAATATCAGACCTGGTCTATAAAAAGAAGCATACCGCAGCCTCACTGGGAAGAGTCGGATGCTAGATCACCCACCCCCTAAATAATGACAACTGCCCATGATATATATCATCTCACGCTCTGTTTGACACCCGGTGCACTATGGAGTTCCTACACTATTATCCCGGTAGGCTTTTCAACAGTGAGCATTCCTGCGCCAAGTAATGCGTCTTTCAATTCACTTTGGCCAATAGACTCGTGTTGTCGAAGAAGGCAATTTCATTACATAATAGTCGGTGTTTCGAACTTTCGCTGATGGCCAAGGATATCTTCTTTAGTACTTGGGTAGTATAATACTTCCATATCATAATATTAAAGGTAGAGAGGGTAACAAGTACCTAATTGCGAGCCCTTCTATTGCTGGAATCTAATATAAAGAGTTTATTTCCAGTTACACAATCCGCAATACTGGTTTGTTTTTACAATGCAAACACTGGAGCATGTTTCAATGAGAAATTATATTACATTTGTACCTTTTCAAGTAATTACTAAATAACTCAGCAACGAAAGCAGACTAAGGTAAAATAGAAGAAAGGTGATAAAGAAAGAGATAAAGTAACTAGAGAATTAGTTGCAAGTATTATGTATATGGATAATATCTTCTCATTAACTAACTTGAAGTATACCAGCTCTCAATGTTCTTTGTACAAAAGTACATATCTAATTTTTTTCTATAAGTATTTCAATTGAAATAGTTTAGATTAAAATGTAGCAATCTTGGAGAATGACAGCCATTATGGAAGGCCAGACCTATGGCCATACTGGTATCAGGAGACTATTATTGTAGGAATAGTAGTACACTATATAGTCTACCAATTAAGGGTGCTGTTAATTAAGTACTTTAGCCAGATATACTCCATCCTACTTGAAGGTACTTAGACACCAGGTAAGGAGAGCAGTTACCCTACTGAGTAGGATAACTGAAGTAGTCAATTTGGTAGTTATGTTAATTGAATAGGTATTGAAGTGTAAGAAGACTCCAAAGAGTACTATTTCAGTTAGCCAAACCTATACTTATACCAGTATTAAGAGACTACTGTGATAGTGATTGTGGTAGACAAGAGTCTACCAAGTGGAGGCAGTGTTGGTTAGGCACATTAGTCGAACATACTTTAATATACTAGAAGTACTTGAATACTAGTAAGAGACAGCAGTTACCCCAATGGGCAGGTCAACCAAAGTAATCAATTTGGGAGTTACTTAAAATTGTTTAGCTGTAAGTCAAGATAAAGTTTCCCTACCTTTGGACTGGAGTTACCCTACCTCAGGTCATAAGTTATCCTACTATAGAGTCACATTACTCTACCTTGAAAACAACTTGTTAGGCAGGACTTTGCTAGAAGTTACTAGATTGTTTATCATACAAAAGTACATAGACTGTTCAAATTTCAAGTTTTGCAGATTGCTTCCGCACAAGCAGTTAAGCTCTGAACAAGTTGTAACTTAGAGGTATATTGGCTAGTACCCTCCTCCATCTCTATTATAAGTTCCTAGTGTCATGGGCCATAGCCTGGAGAGCTGTTGTAAGTCTAGTAAAGGTTTATACATGGAGATTCTCTTATAATACCATATCTGTTCCTGCTGGATGGTTGACTAGAGGCTGTCGGTGGGATATATGAGAAGGAAGAAGAGAACTTGGAGATTGGTCTCTAGGTGGTTTCACATAAAAGGGACTAGAGCTGACAGAGTAATATGACTTTGGAATTGGACATAGTATGTGAGGTTACAGAATGCCTGTGCATGTGGTAATCAAAGTCTGTTGTCCTAAATGTGTAGTAATGCTGGAGAATCATTAATGACTCTAAGATACTAGTCTGAGGTCATGATAAGGTTCACTTTGAGGAGGATTGATTGTAGGTAGTACCTAATAGAAACCAACCTCTAAAGGTATTAAGTAGAGATAATTTGATAGACTTCAGA